AGGGCCCTTTATGCTCTCCCTGGCCCCCGGCCGGGCACAGCTGTGCAGCCCCAGCCCAGGTGCTGCAGGTTTCAGGGAAAGGCCCCTCCATGCCAGCCTTTATTTGCCAAACCTTGCAAGGTTACAAGTGAAGGAGAAATCTATGCAATTAGTAGGGGATTAATTTAAAGCATGAAAGGAAAGTTGCTTTTGTCCCCTGGACAGCAAACCCCAGTGAACCCAGTGCTGCCACAAGCTGTGGGAGCAGACAGTGCTGGCAGCTCCAAAAACGAGCTGAACAACAACACAAACAATAGATCCATTCATAACTAGAGACTTCAGGGAACAGCCAGGTTATACCCTCCAACATTGTTAATCCAGCAACGGTGGTTGCCTGGGAGTATGAGGGAATGGGTGCAGAAAGTAGTCTGGCTTGCTGGGTCACCTGTCCTGCCACTGCTGTTGCAGCTGCTGCTCTTTGGGAGGGAGAGAGGCTGGGGTACACAGCTATTTTTTCAGGTCATAGCCTACTGGCATTAAGCACTCAGAGCATGCAGCCAACATGGCACCTTCACCTGGTAGATGGAGAAGGGCATCCAATGCAGGAACAGCTTATTCAGCTTCGTGTTTCTTGATATTATGTTTAGGAAGGTGAGTTTCTTTCCACAGAGATACTGCCCCATCTCACAGTGAGCAGCTTTTCTGTGGTATCCTCACAAAGCAGAGAACTGTTAGGCCATTAATCACAGGATTCACCTGGGATGAATATTAAAGTCTCCTTGGGCAAGGGAAGATGCTGAAGGTGGATTTTGAACAGTCTGGTAAAATCTGTGCCCCCTGAGCCCCTGCCCTGCTGAGCTGTCAAGGGGAGCTCTTCCCCACCCCAGGAAGGTCTGTGGGTGTCAGAGTGGGGCAGGGGGTGCTCACGCTGAGCAGTTGGCCAGGCTGGCACAGGAATCCCCTTTGCTCAGCATTTCATGGCTCAGACAGCTGTGAGCACACTCAGAAGCAAATTTTAGGAAATTTGAGAACTCGGGTGTTGGATAACTTCACATGTCTCTAGGGTTGATGGCACATGAGCTGCTAAGAGCAATAAGGATGCCCATTTATGCTTTTACACAACATTTGGAGTCTTCAGGTGGAATGGGAAGGTATGGTCCTGGGTTGGGACACAGGTCCCTGTGCAATGAACAAGGGAGGGACAGCCCCAAATACTCCAAGGCCAAAGAGCACTGTGAATAAGGCAGTGACCTTATTTGTGGAGAAAAGTGCTGAAATTTAGACCTAGACGTGACTCAGACTCACGGGTGCCTGTGGCACAGCATCTGCCCTTGGGACAGAGATGTGAAACACTCAGGCTCCTGGGATCTATGCTGAAGCAGCAAGGGCCCTGTGTCACATCCCTGTGCCAGGGACTGGCACTGGGAGCTGCTGGTGGTGATCCATGGCCAGACAGAGACACTTCTCTCTTGTGTCAGGGGCTGACCTCCAGCAGTGCCTCCAGCCTGCGCTGCTGCCAGTGCTGCCCCGAGCAGTGGGCAGTGACAACCACTGGAGTTACACTGAAGACATCACCTGTGGTTGGGAACACAAAAACTGCACACCAGGAGTCAGGGTGGTGTTCCCCATTCACAAATCAGCAGGAATAGAACCAGTCTTGTAAGGGAGTGACAGGTTTTACTGGCAAAGACCCCACAACAGTTCTTCTATTTATTTATTTTATTTTTATTTTATTTATTTATTTTGGTAATATGAACTAAGAAATGGTTTGCAGGAGAAAAAAAAAGGTGTGATGGAGAGTGTTGTATGGAGCATGATCACCCACTAGCACAGCACTGGCATCTGAAATGCTGAGGCTCACTCTCTGAAGATTTCACCATCAGGGAGGTAACCATGGAAAGTACTAAATAATTAAGTACTATTGAGGGTTGCTCAGTAACTGAGAGTGCAATAGGCCAATGCTTTTTCTGTGAGCTTGTACTTGGGTAAATATTTAGGCTTTTAAAGCTTTAAACGACAGTGAATATTGCATAGGGACATTCTGTGCAAAGCCCTGGACTATGTTTACTTGCAGATGGTCTAGTACTTAAAGAGTCATCTAAAGGCTTTTCAGTCCATGCAGTCCTTGTGCAGATTGTGGTGGTCTCTGGGTTCAGTGGTGAGCCAGCCTCTTCTAGGACTGCATTAGTCAAGATCAGCTCCCAAAAAACCCTGGTCAGCCGCAGCTCTTGGCCAACAGGTGCAAGACAGGGGTATCTCCAACTGGCCTGGATTGCCCTGTTTCATTATGGCCAGTTGCTTTTGGTTATGTTTTGGTTTTATTTTGTAAGGTCTAGATTAGATTTTTACTGAAATCAGACTGGTAAGGCTTCAAACCAGGAGAAAAAAAGAAAGAAAAAAAAAAAGGAAGAAAAAAAAAGGAAAGAACAGAAAGGCAATATTGCCTAGCAATGAAGAACACCCAGTGGCCAAGGTAAGAGCACTTACTGTGAATGAGTGGGTATTAGTGCCTTCTGTTGACAGAGGCAACACTAAGTGGGCACCCTGTCTGGATGCAGCAGCCCCTGATTGCCCAGCAAACAGCCATCTAAAATAAATATTCCCCCCTGGGCAAGAAGGTTGCCCTCTTGCCTCTCACCCCAGCTCTGTCCCTGAGCACCTCAGGCTCTGCGAGCGGCCCTCGCGGCCCTCGCCTCAGAGCTGCCCGGCATCAGTGCTGCTGGGGAGCACTGGGATAAAGGGCCTGATTTCCCGTCCCTTGAGATTTAACAGGCTATGTGTTGTAGATAACAAGAAATCTAGACTGGAGAGAAAGGACGAAGGAGCAGATACCAGCACTCCCATTCCCTCCCAGAGACCAAGGGGCTTCTCTGTGGAGCTGGGCTGTTGGCTTCCATATGTCTGCCTGCCAGTCTGTAAGATGACTCAGTACTCACCTTCCCTACAGGATGGTCACTGAGCTTGCTGGCTTTGAATCAAAAAGCAAAAGAGACCTGCAAGACACTGTGCCATCCTTCACTGAAAGTCCAATAAAATAATAAGACTACATAACGAGGTAATATATTTATGGGGGGTAGAAATTTTACAATACCATTTATTTATTTTAATCTGAAAATACAGCAGAGGGTAACAAACAAACAACTGACATGAAATATAATCCCATCGTAGCTTCTGATTACTGGAAGGAAGCTCAGCTTCATCACACAAGTGTTCTGGTGTTCTGGAGTAGGAACAGTTTTGCTGGTTTCGTAAATATGCTCAGCAAATGTGGCAATAAGCATTGTGCTGCTGTAAGAGCAGGGTAATAACATTGCTGAAGCCCTATGAGCCATTTTGAAGATTGTGAGCAGATTATACAAGATGTGCTAAAAGATGTATTTTTCCTATTTGAAGGATGAGGGAGCCCTTTTTCATTAAAATTTTGTATTTGGAGAGAGATAAATTATCCAGATGTCAAACAGCTTTCATTTTTCTACACAAAGGAGTAGGGAATTGCAGACCAAAGAGAGATTTTTTTACATGCAATAACGTTTGCTTAAATTAGCATCATTTCTTAAATCCAGATTTTTTCGCAAGGCCAGCCATTACTTCTGAAGCTTGTCCAGTTGCTTTTTCTACCCCATCTTGCACTGTCTTGGCAGCCTTGTCAATAGCTACAAGAGAGAGAAAAAAAACGTAAAACTTGAAAAACAGAACATGGTTTAATATTTATGATGGAAGAGGGAAGTCTGAAAATTATTAGATTATAAAAATGTAGGTATAAAAAAGGTTCTCCACAGGTAATTGTCCTGGTTTGGCAGGGTTAGGTTTGGCAGGATATGTTTAATATAGGCTGTAAAATAGGAGGGGTAACTTGGACGTTCCAGGTGCTGAGCTAAAGTACAAGATGAATGATGGGATAAAGCTGGAAAAGATTGATCATGGTCTAAGTGTGGCCTGGCTGATGGAGGAGGGTGCTTTGGGCTGAAGAAGTGCCATTAATACTGGGATGTTTGGTAAAGACAACCTTATCAAGTGATGGGGAAGGTGAAGGATGCTTCCCCCTCTGTTCCCTTTTCAGTTGTGTATTTGTGGGACTGCTGATGAGGGCTGTGCTCAGTTGTGGGAAACCACAGCAGGGTCTCACCAGGAGGGAGGATGAAAGGGACAAAGCCTCCCTCTCTTCTCTGGGATAGTGGCTGTATTTTGGCAACACTGCTGCCTCCCCATATAACATCAACAAGTGGCCAAGTCCTGCGCTCTCATCCCATCGTGGAACTGTAGCAGGTGTCTGTTCTAAGGAGACATTGCCAATGCATTTTGGCTTTCATAAAACATTTTAGGCCCTGAAGTTGCTGATTCTCCTCTGATTCTTAGAAAATCAATAAAACCAAGTTAGAAATGAGCTTAGATTTTAGTTTAACTTGTTTCCAATCCCTGGAAACAAGATACCAATGCTTTCCTGATGGCACCTTTCCAGCTGATAGCTCATTAATGTTCGACCCTGACTGCTGCCTCAGCAGGTGCTGGCAGCTGGTATGGGGCTGGATCTGGATGGACCCTGCCCCCCAGGCTGGGGAAGCAAGGTGTATCACAGAGTGACTCAGTCCTCAGAAAAGAAGAGCAAAGTTTTGTCTGTGCTGTTCCCACTGTTTTTTTAAAAAGGAAGCCAAAATCTGAGTGCCATGCATGAGACTTTGTGGCTGGGCAGGAACCGGCTATTGTGGTACATCTAACAGTAAACAGATGGAGCTCCTAAGGAGCACATCCTGAAATCCTGTCCCATGAGATTTGCAAGAGGCCAAAACTTGCCACTGAACCCAAGGGCTTTCAGACTGAGAGTGCCCATGGGAGGTGGGACGTGTGCACTGCCAGCTGCTGGCTGGTGATGAGCTGCCCCATCACTCCTTGATTTGTACAGCCTTTCTCCTACCTTTCTGGCTTGCATCTGCAATCTGGTTGACTGCATCCTGGGTAGCCTGTCCCAACGTGTTTGCTGCAATTAAAGAAAAAAAAATAATATTTTCCAGATGTTCACATTTATGCTTATAGGAATTCCCTGTGTCAGCTGGCTTTTCTGCATATCCACAGGAAGTCATGCCCCTGGCAAGAGATAAGGCTGGTACGAAGCAGGCTGGAGCTCTGTGCTGAGCTCGTGGGCCCCCTGGGAATGGTGTGTGTTGCCAGAGCAGCTTGGTATGAGATTAGTGTTCACCTAGCACCTATGGTCAGCTGAGGAAATCAATGACAGATAAGAAGATAAAATAAAAAGGAGATAAAGAAACAAAGATAAGCAGTGAGTTTGACCGATGACATTTAGCTTCAGGTTGCTTATTTTACGCTACACTTGCTTCTGTTGATTTTTCTAGGTTATCCTGCCAGGAGAAGCTTGGCTATCTAGCATGCATTTTCTTTGCTGGCTGTTTGGGAGTAGTGCCTTTTCCAAAATGGAAGCAAACACATTAAACAGAGCAGGACAGGAAAAGGGAGATTATACAAACAAGGTATGAACAAAAGAAGAGCAGAAACTAGAAATGTAACAGATCGACTGCAGAATATAAAGCATTAAAATAAGAAGATGTCTTGTAAGATGTCTGACAGTTCATGAAAGAGTGATAGCCATCCTATCACTTTTGCTGGAAGTAGTGACCCCTCACTGGAGAGAATATATTCAGGATGCAGCAAGGACTATTTTGTTTTTCAGAAAGGCATACTATCCTGTTTCTTCATCAACTGCACAATTGTTCCCAGGTGTGTGGAAACTTACTGAAACCATGAAACACTCAGTGAGGTTACTCACATCTTTTGGCCATACAGCAAAGTGTTTACAGAATCAGAATCCCAGGACTGACACAAATGATACCATGCTAGGAATGAGCTTATACGAGCCTTGTAAAGATTATACTATAAAATGCTAGCATAAGCTATACACATCTTGACTTTTTTCATTTAAAGGAAAAGCTATTATACTTTGCACTGAAAAATTGTTTTCCAAGGTACTGCGCTAATAAGAATACAGTGCTTGGCCCTACAACATAGAAGAGTTAGAACAGAAATGTGTGCACAGCGTGCACTGCTGCAGAAGAATACAGCAGAAATATAGCTCTACTACTTATTACAAACATCCCATTGCAATCAGTGTAGTTATTACCAGAAGGTGTGCCTAGGCAGGCCAAGTGGCAAATGTTAATCAAGGATTAACTCCAGTTTCTTAAAAGGAGAGCAGTTTAAAAACCTCTGCAGAGCATGAGAGAAGACCACCCTGAGCAATGTAAATGCTAGATAAAAAAGGTCATTACTACCAAAGCAGGCTTCACTTTAAAAAGTGAAGCTTTGAAAAATACTGAGTTTAAAGATCTGTTTGGGGAGCGATAAGGGTTGGACGATGCTCAACAGTCACTGAGGGAGCTGTGGGTGGAGGTGGTTGCCCGTGCCAAGCCAAGAGCCATGGCCAGCCTGGGGCGTTCTCCAGGTGATGGCTAGACCTTGGCCCCAGGAATTGAAAGAAAAGAAAAGGAAAAGCTGTGTCCTGCTAGCACCAATGAAGCTAGGAGTGTAACTACAGGTTGTGCTCTCATAAGCGAGAGCAGCAGCGAACCCCCCCACAACTATACAACAATATTTAATCTTTCTTACCAGCATCTTTTGTTGCACCTTCAGCCTGTTCCTTCAGTCCATGAAAGTTTTTACCTGACATCGTGGCTTCTGACCCCTGTTAACACTCTTCTGCATCAATAAAATTAAGCACCTGGCAATGTATAACATGCTATGTGAGGGGTGCCCTGACCTGTCCTGGTTTTATATGTGTGCCAGGAGACCTGCTGATGCTTTTGGGGGTGATTGGTACAATGGGTGGAGTTTGAATGTGAGGAATGAGAGTTGAAAATACACACAAGAAAGCAATTTATGTACCCTCCCCAATGAGAGGGTGTGCCTGAGTAGAGATTTCTGCTTCATGGCACTGTCTTTGTTTATAAGTTTGTTGTTTTTTGTAAAATCAAAACCACAAAAAAACCTGTTCCACCATCACAGAGAAAAAACACGGAACTGAGTTTTATAAAGAGTGCTGGAAAACTACTGAAGTAGCAGAGCTTGGGCATGGCCAACTTCTGTCCCGGCTGGGCTGGCTTCTTTCTCCTTCCTTCATCCCCTGAGCTGAACCTCTTGAGAGCAGAAAACAGCCCAAATTTCATTAACTTTTTTGCAGTGTTAATCACAATCCCCTTCTCTTGTCAGGTGGGACACCGTGAGATACAGAGAATTGTAAGTTACCTGTATTTTTATAAGAAACTGCAAATCTGGTCATCTTTCCAGTTAACCTGCTCCAGTCAGATAGCAAAAGCCCAGCATCACTAAAGGCCTTGCCTGGGTCAGGCAGGTAAACAATGCCACTGCTAGCAGTTCTCAGGAAAAGGGAAAAAAAAAAAAAGAAGCCAAATGAGCAATTTCCTAGAATTGGTTTGCATTGTTAGTACAGAAATAATGTCTAAAAGACTTTCCTTTCCTAGTATCACTACATCAATAAGAGTTTCTGACTTCAACCTCTGGCATTTCACAGGTCTCTACGATTCTTTAGAATTTATGTTTTCTGCCACCAACCCCCAGTACAAGGAAACTTTGCACAAATAAACCTCTGGCAGAGTTTGGGGCAAAGGGCTCTCTGGCTTTATGGGGCTCAGCTCTGTCCTCACCCTTTTCCAGCCTACAAAGCACCTCGGTTCAGATGGTCACTCTCACACCCATCTTTATCTTCCTGAGGAAAGCTTATTAGTTGAGCAGTGGGCATGAGAACAAGATGCTGTGGATAAACTAGGGTGGGAAGTGACAGTGGTCATAAGTTTAGTACTTCATTAGTACCCAAGTGAGGAAGAACAGCAGAAAACAAGGTTAAAAGCATTCCTCAGTCACTTCTATTCAGCCTGTCATTTCAGAGAGCTCTTTTCAACTCTTGTACCACTGCCACCACTCATTTATTATTTCAAACAGCAATTCTCTCTCACTCTTGACAGGCCAATTAGGATTTTAATTACATATTCACATCAGGTATCTTTTTTCAATTCCTTGCTCCTTTCCTTTTCAGAATGATTTTCTTACTTGGCTTTGCAAAAACTTAGATAAAAGACACCAAATATACTGGGGCTCTGGTATCTTTTGGACAAAACCACTAACACAGACCTACTTATCTTCCTTGCCCAAACCCTAGCAACAACAGAACCATGACAAATAGGCAGATTTCAGCTATTCTCAGCGTGTCAGAGTCAGAGAGATCTAACCATCATGTGATGGACCTGGCTGCCAAGTATCGTGGAGTTGTTATTTTTGCCATTGTCAGTTCTCAACCATGTTGTTTCACAACTGGAGAAAATAGGGGTTGGGCAGGATATTATAAAGCATTTTGAAAGCTAAATGCCAAAACACTACACCCTATGTGTTGCTTCTCTACTAATGTCTCCACAGGATTGACCCAAAGCTTCAGCTCTTAAATACACCTACAATTTCTACTCCTGTTTTTCCCATGCATTACCTCTTTCCAAATAGGTTTCCTGGTCTTTCATTGCATCATTCGGTGTGTCCTAAGGTCAGCTCAGACTGCCTACAGGTGAAAAGTTAGTTTGGACTTTTGCTCCATTCAAGTCTCAGTATCTGCTGAGACTGCTGAAGTCCTGGTTAACGCCAGCTGGGGTAGGTACCACGGTGTGTGGGCAGAGCCACATGCTGAAGTGCCCATGGAACTTCAGTCTATTCCAAAAGTGACTTCACCTGCTGGGGCAGGTTGCTGACACTGCTTGGCCAGAACTGAGATGTAAGAAGTGTCACCACTCTCAACAGCACTGTCTCACTGACACTTTTCTCCCTGGTTTCTCAGGCTTTTCTTCCATATCCTGCTCCTCCTCAGTCTGTTGTCTTTGACAAGCAGTACGATATTTCTGTTTGGGAAGAAAAAAACCCTGTAACTGATTCCTTAATTGCTAGGAGGGCTCCATGAGCCACAGCTCACTCTGGAGTTAGTTAACAACCCTACATACACAGCCCAAATATCTGTGAGTTAAATCTAAGGCACTGCAGGAAACAAGAAGTTGTTCTGGTTCCCTTTCCTTTCATACCTCTTCTATGGCACCTTTGAGCACTCTCTTATGTAATGACTAAGAGGAACCCTTCTGTTTTTATTACCTGGTAGTTGATCAGAGCTAGAGCTCATGTTTTACACATGAAAATGGGCAAATGGGGTTAATTATATAAGATCAAAATAAGGCCAGTGTATATGGATTTCTTTACCTTCTGGTTTCCGCATCTTTGGGTAACATCTAGGTGAAGCACCCATTTTCTGCCACCTTCTGGAGCACTGAAGAGTAAAACCATGCTCAAACACTGGGATTTTTTTGGAGTTTCATGATATCCTGCAGCTTAAGTATTAATTGCACTTATGAGACAAAACAAGTTGTGCTTCAATATAGAAAAAAGTGTCAGAGTGGGGAGACTGTGGGGTTAAAAAAAAATTTATTAAAAAAACCAGACTCTCATTTTTTAATCATGTGCTCATTGAGGTCAGTTTTAGGACATGCATTATGCAGAAACAAAAATAGGACTTTCAGATGAAGTGGTATTTTTGGAAGTGTATTATTACCTGATTTGCATTTAAATTAGTGAAATGCATGTTGAGATATTCAGGAAAGAGCCACTGCTTTCTCTTTAGCACTCAGACAAACATCTTTGAAAACTCAGGCCCTGCATGCCCTTTAGCCCTTGGCTAACACGTAATTGTGGGAGGAGCTCTCAAAGGCTATGAACTGTGTCAGAACAAATCACTTAATAAAGCTTAACTGCAGTCTTATATGGTAAGCAAATTTTGCAGTTACCAGGGAAAAATAAAGCATTTTTTGGAACTTTGTTGGTCACTCGTATGGTGAAGTTGAGGCAAGACTTGGCAGCAGCTGCTCCTGGCTTGTTGGATCACCATGGAGATCTGAGCATGAGCACCCAGAGTCACGTCATCAGGGACAGGCTCTGGCCCTGCTGCACTAGGCACTGAGCATTGCCTTGTCACAGAGGGGCAGCTTGGATAAGCTTTGAGAAGCACAAGAGAAACTCTTGATTGCTCAGACCATGGCCTGCCAGCAAAAACTTATTTTGCTACTGTTTGCATCCATCAGCTTTTACCTGGGGCAGGGGGATTCCCAGCAACTCTTGCGAAAGCACCTTCTGGCAGTGGATGTTTTGTGATTCATCTCCTCCATCCTTCCATTTTTCAGTTTCCTTCCATCACCTCTCCTTACACTTGTCTGAATACCCATTAGAAGCAAAGACCTCTCTGTTCTATGCAGTGAACCAAACAAGTTTAATTGAATGATTAACAGATAATCTTTTGGCTCTTTTATGACAGACCCTTCTACTTCAGGAGAAACCAGTGTTCCCCTTTCTTACCTCCGGCAAAGGCAGTTCAGACCAGCAGCTCTGCTGCCCCAGCAGGGTGTGGGCTGGTCTGAGGCAGCGAGGGGAGGAGATGGCAGCTCCACAAGCCAGGGTGTGGGCACAGCACTACCCTGTTCCTGCTCACTGAGGCAGGATGCTTACGTGGGAGCAAACCATGTCCTGATCTCTGCCTTTAAGGCTTGTGATTGCCTTCTGCAAGCTGCATAATAAACATGCTGTCAAGCTGCAGCTGGGACTGCAACCGGACTAGCCCAGAGCTAGCAGGGGCTATGGCAGGGAGGTGCTGAACCCCCAGCCCAGCCCAGGGAGAAAAAAGTGCTCAGTGACGGGAGAAGCAGGCAAGTGCAAAGGCAGATCTGTAGGAAACATTCAGACACTTTGGGTGCCCATAGTCTAGCAGTGTTTGGGCTGACAGTTCTAGATTTAGGTGTGTAAATACCAGTTAAATTCCTCCTTTCCCACAGGAAAGGAGACGCTGTAGCACAGCAGTGCCTGCACTCTTCGTTCAGCTATTGTAATTCTTTCCTGGTTTAAGTCCTTTTGAACCCAGGGCAAGGCTGCTTGAGAGACAGGCATCTGGGGAGCTACAGCCTGGCCCAGCCTCCCACACGTGCTGTAACTGGCCAGGGCACTCACCTGCTCT